GTAGGCAGTAGTGTTTGCACATTTTAACCTGACAGATTGCTGGTAAATCTTAATGAGATGCAATATGTAGAACATGCCTTTTCTTAATCCCAATGAGGAGGTTTGGGTCTAGTCTGGTCTCAAAGGTGGATGTACCTTTTTATTGCCCCAGTTTTCCCATCTGTATAAAGAAAAGGCTGGAGTAAATAACCTTAGAGCTCCTTCAGCTGTCAATGCTGTCATTTTAAGCATACAAATTCAGATGTTACCGATAATACTCACTCTATTTTTGTATAAATCAAAAATCTGAAGAAACAAAACTTTAGGACAAACACCATACACTGTAGAAAAATTTAGCTGTATTATTTTGAGCATAGAATGTCATTAATAAACCCTTTAAAAAATTTTTTTTTGGTGAATTGATGGAAGGTTTACAGAGCAAATCATCAGTTTTATATTTAAAAAAATCATATAGTTTGTTCATTACAATGATTGCAATCCCTTCCATGTACCAAAAGTAAACATTATTTAACTTTATTCACTTTTACTATTGCAATACTTTCTGTATCTTCACTACTTTTATCTTTCCTCTGCTATCCTCCCTCTTGTATATTGCCTGTCCTGTTGACATGTGTCTGCCCTAGCCCGTGAATAATTTTCCTGCTCCTGTAACCATCATAGGTTGCTTCTTTTATTAAGAAAACCTTTTCTTAACTTTTTACAACAATGGCCTCATACAATATTTGCCCTTTTGTGATTGACTTCTTTCAGTCACCATAATGTCCTCCAGGTTTATCCATATTGTGAGGTGTTTCGTCATTATTCTTCAACATTGTGTAGTATTCTATGTATCAAAGGTTGTTTTTAACCAGTATTCTATTGGGCATTTAGACTCTATCGTTTTGATGTGTCTTCTGTAGACAGTATATTAAAGGATCCTGTTTTCTTATCCATTCTGCTCTCTTCTGACTGGTACATTTAATTTATTTGCGTTCAGTGTAATTATCGATAGGTATGAATTGATTGCTGTCATTTTGCTGTGGGCTGTTTTTATTGTGGTGCTACTGAGTTCATTTTGTTTCTTGGTTGTCTTTCAATTTTCTTCATTTCTATTGTGTTGTTGTTGTTGTTATGTGCCGTGGAGTCGGTTCTGACTCATAGTGACCCTGTACAGGGTTTCCAAGGCTGTAATTCTTTATGAGAGCAGAAAGCCTCATCTTTCTCCCATGGAACAGCTGGTAGTTTCAAACTGCTGACCTTGTGACTTGTAGCCCAATTCGTAACCACTATGCTACCAGAGCTCTTTCTGTTGTTCACTGACTGTTTCTGATTCTCCTCCTTTTATTATTTTGATGTGCAGGTGCATCGATTTTATTTGAGGTTTCCCTATAATTTATTAATTGCTTTTCCCTGATTAAAATGATGTTTTATCTTGATATCTATCTACTTCTTTGCCATTTGAAAGTTCTATGTTGTAAATTGGTATCCTGGTTCCCTATTTTCAGATTTCTAGGTGTGTTTTACTTTAAGTATTTCTATATCTGGAATGGTGGTGTTGTCATGTATGGTAATCTCAGGTTGTTGTTTGCTGTTGTTGGTTCCCAGTCCAAAGAACACCCTATTAGCATTTTTTGTAAAGTTGGTTTGGTCATTATAAATTCCATTAATTCGTGTTTATCACAAAATGTCCTAATTTTGCCATCATATTTGAGGGAAAGCTTTGCTGGACATATGACTCTTGGTTGGCAAGTTTTTTTCTTTCAGAGTTTTGTATATGTCATCCCACTGCCTTCTTGCCTGCATGATTTCTGCTGAGAAATCAGAGCTGGATTTGGCTGATGTTGTCTTCTGTCTTGTTGATCAGGTAGTGTAGAAGCTGGTATTAGCTTTGGCCCAGTGGATGGAGCAGCAGAAGGTACTGTTATGACTGGATTGTATGGGCATGGTTATTGTCTCCTTTCCTGTCAACTGTGTCAATCTGCTCTGCCAGGCTACCTTCTATTGCCAAAGCTGTTCACAAGATGGTTGTACTATGTGTGGCAGGCTGTTCACCAATCAGTAACTCTCTCGCCATCCCTGCTCAGCTTCTCCTCCCAGCAAGCATTCAGTCCACTTCTCTAACATTTTCTCTGAAGTTCAGGTTTTTCGTCAGTGTCTATTTTATTTGGTCTCTCGTATTTTTGTTGTAGAGTGTCTGTGTAGTGCATCTGCCAAACTGCCATCTTACTGGAAATCCAATACTTATTGTTTTTATCTCACATTTATATCATCTATATATTTTTTAACTTCTTAAATATTTATAGGTATGCATGTGACATTTTATGTTAAATCTATTATAAATGTTGATCCAGAAAGTATAGTTGGGATTAACTATAATATATAACAGGAGTGCATTGGCTCCATAGATAAAGCACTAGACTGAACTGTGAATCATAATGTTTGCAGTTCAAGCCCCCCAGCTGCTCCACAGGAGAAAGATGAGGCTTTCTGCTCCTGCAAAGATTTAAAGCCTCAGAAATCTTATATCTATACAGGGTCACTATGAGTTGTAATTGACTACATGGCACTTAACAACACAGCATCATATATAACAAATGGAAAGATTTGGGGTTAAAATTTAGTAATTTTTGCTGGCTTCTGAATTATAAAATAAAATGACAAAGATATAGGGCTTCTCGATTCTTGGATATAACTCAAGAATTGGATAAACAAACAGGAAGGAGCCTACTATATTATTTAACAGCTCTATGGAAAACCAGTAAATGCACAAGTTTTGTTTACTTACTGAAATCTTTGCAATTTGAAAATGCTGTAGAAATCTGGAACTGTGTAGAATGACTTGCCTCATCCTCCATAAAGATTAGTTTGCCTTCTATGACTTAGCATAATTTCTGGAATCATAGCTGCCCATATGTATTGATTTAGCAAAGAACAGTTGTTTCATTTAACTTGGATGATTTTGTTTTAAAATAGCCAGTGCTTTTGATTCAAAATGAGAACTCTAATAAATTATTATGCCCATGATAAGTAAATCAACTAGAGAAATGTGAACCAAAGGTTATAATAAATTATAATTATTAGAGGAAAGGAAAGATCTTCAGATAGAGACTTAAGAAGATCGTATATGCTGTGTCAGACTGTCCATGTGGTCATTGGTTGAAAGCAGGGGTTAAAGGATTACTCAATAATCCAGGCATGCATGGGCTTACTTGTGCTTACAATGTATTATGTAGATCATACCATGCTTACTGTAGGAGAAAGATGAGGCTTTTCTGCTCCCACGAAGATTTACACCCTTGGAAGTCCTATACAGGGTCTTTGTGAATCAGAACTGACTCAGTGGTGTTTAACAACATCAGCAGCCTTGCTTACTGGATACACCATCCTGGACAGAGATTTTAAATTGGAAAAGAGGCTTTGGTTCTGTAGGAAAGTGCTGTGAGGTTGGAAGAGAGACAGATGCCAGACATACCTAGAAGCAGAATTTTTGATGTGGTAAACAAAACAAAAATGTGAAATTGTTTCCTATAGGTTGGTAAGTGAGCGTAAGTAAACCCATGTTTACTGTACTTACTGAGTAATTTAAAGCTGGATAAAGGTGTACCAGTCTTTGTGAGACGTTCAAGAAGTGTGTTAGCAATCATAGTTAATCTTTGGCAAAGTGACGCACATTTTAAAGTTGCGATTTAGATGTTGAAATTGTCTCCCAAATCTCAGCTTCTTTGTTTTTGCTTTCAGAAGTGAATTAGGCTAACTTCCACTGCAAAAATTTTATTTCCAAGTATGAATAAGCAGAAGTCCTTGAATAAACTCCCCCTCACACACACGTTTTAAACAAGCTTCCTATTTATAATTAGCATGACCAAACTAAATTTTACATATTCAAGTATATTGAGGCAAGTGGCTGATTGAAGTGCTTTTCAAAAATTTATTTGGCTCTGTAGTAGACCTATGTGAAAGAATGTTTCTTCCCTGTTTGGTAGTTATTGAACAGAAAATGGAATTTAAAAGGTCTGCTCAGCTGGACAACTTTAGACCTTTCAATTTCATTTTAAGTTACTGTTCTGCACCTGTGGGATTTTTGAAAGTGTGTCAGTATTAATTATACCCCCTTTAAACTTTTTAATTAGTTCAATTCAAGAAGACAGAAGGGCTTGATAGCTTATTTTGTGTGGAGCATTTCTGTCACTGACTACATGAAAGTAGTTACACCTTTTGAAGTTTGCTTTCGTTGCAGGCTTTGGGTTACCGGGGAGACCAACTTACCTATGCTTCCGCTCACTTTGAAGTTCTCAGTGTTGTCAGCTTTTCTACTTGCATCGTGTTACGTTGTCACTTTGTTTTTTACTTCTTGTAGGCTTTAATCACTCTCCATAAAGAAGAGTTTAATAGCAGAAGACTGAACAATATGTGGTCTATGGAACAAAATCCTAACATTGAAACCTCTTCATTCTAAAACATGAGCATATTTCCATCTTAGTTTTAGCTGCCATCCTACGTTTTTGGTGAAGGATCAGGCTGTGGACATACTGTTAAGGCCTTGAGGTCTAATATCATAGCCTGATAACAAATTATGACAACACCTAGGCTTAGAGTCTGAAGCAAGGACTCCTTAGAGCAGTAATGGGAATGGGCAGTTAAAGTTGAGTCAGGTAATAACGAGTTCTAGGTATAAGCTAAGTTTCTCCCCTTCACTTGTTTGTTACAAACTAAATCTGCATGCATCTTGTGTCACGTCACCTTATTTGGCCTCCTGATTCGGATCCTGGGATTGTTGCTAAGTTTCATATGCATCTGATTTGCTATATTCTGAGAAGGAGGTTGATTTCCATATCCATGGGTCTCTGGCCTGATGAGATTTTGACCAGCACCTATAATTGTCCAGACTCGAGCAGTCGATGGAAGTGGCTTTGTGGTGGTGGGTTTGTTGGTGGTGACTTTGAGCTGCAGTCCTCAAGGTAAAGGAAAATGTTCACTTTATAAGAAAATAACTGATAGTTTTATTTTCCTTTTCTTTGTAGCTATAATACTCTGCCAAGCAGAAGGACCCTGAAAAACTCAAGATTAGTGAGTAAAAAAGATGATGTACATGTGTGTATCATGTGTTTACGGGCCATCATGAATTATCAGGTATGTTTGTTGTTCTAGGCCTTTGAAAAGTTCTGAATTAACTGTAATGAGATCTTGTGCCCTTTGGTTTGAAGTAGATACCAAGATTTAATGAGATACTATTGTTAAAGGTCGTTTGGTTTATTTGAATGCTCAAGATTCAATTCATTTCCAGTGATTTGAATCTACAGGCAGGTCCAGGTGGTGACTTAGGTAGTCAGAGTTCAGACCCTGTATAAGGTGCTTGAATTGAATTTAGGAATGGAAAGATGTGTTTATTCATTTCAACCTGTGAATACATTTTAAATAACTACTGTGTGTGCAACCTGTTCTAAACACAGGGAATACAGCATTAAACAAATACGTGCTCCCAAGAACTTTCTGTCTTGTGAGGGAAGACCGATAAAAAACATATAAATTGATTATATATATATATAGGTTCCAGATGATGATGATGTTACTGAAACCTAACACTTAAATAGTGCTTTCATCAGGTCTGATGCTTTTAAGCCTATTAATGTGTTTAAACCTCATAACAGCTCTGTGATATTGGTAATATTACTTTCACCATCTTACTAATGAGGAAACTAAGACACAGAGAAGTTTACCAGTAGCTACTAAGTGGTGGGGTCAAGATTTGAACCCAGAAAATCTGGCTCCATGGAACCATTTCTAAGTACCGTAGAAAAAGGAATCAGGAATAATAAGTGCTGAAAATGTGTGTGTAGTTTAAATAAGGTAACCCTGAAAAGTATCACTGAGAATAGGCATTTAGTAGCAACCTAAATGAGTGTCTTCATTTAACATACTCAGCTGGTAACTGAAAGGTTGGAGGTCTCAGTCCATTCAAAGCTGCCTCAGAAGAAAAAGTAGAGATCTACTTCTGAAATATCAGCCACTGAAAGCCCAGTGGAACACAGTTCTACTCTAACACCCATAGGATTGCTATGAATTGGAATCAGTTTAATAAAAACTGAGGTGTAAAAAATTATTTTAGATAAGTCAAATTTTTATGCTAATGTTACTGAATCAACAGGAAAAAACTAATGATGGGAGTTGGGGAGAATTGGTGGAGCATGCTGTCTTTGCTCTAGGGACTCCTGGTGTGGTGCTGTAGGATAAGCACTGGAATATGAACCGCAAAGTTGGCAGTTCAAACCCCCCAGCCACTCCTCGGAAACACTATACAGGGTAGCTATAAGTCAGAACTGACTCAGTGGTACTTAACAACTACAACAAGTTCTAGACTATGTGAAAAAGAGCAATTGAATCAGTTACTCCAATGGAGGTACTGGCCTTGGATTGGTGCACAGGACAGTGCATTTTAGGGAGAGATGAGGAGGTGAGCCATAAATCTATGTAGGAGAGTTGATGTGGTGGTTGAGAGATTTTGAGAGTTTTTTTGGGTTTTTTTCCTTGATTGCTTTTATTTTCTTAGTATAAGAGAAATAAGGTCAGGAGCTGAGAGTGAACTTAGGAAAGAAGGAATAATTTCTTGCAAGAATCAAGAACAATTCTTGAACCTGTTCTTGAGTTTCCTTGTGTGTTTAGAAGACTAAGGAAACATGCCTTCAAGCAAGGCGGGTTTTCCAGGTTCTGATCCTATTAGGCGATGCCCAGAGAAGGGCCCAGAGGTGGTGGTGGTGAACCCTGCTGCACAGTGGAGTCACCCTGGAAGCGTTAAAAAATAAAGTTGAAAAAATAAAGTTGACCTAAAGTGGATCCTGTTTTGTTTACTCTTCTGAGATGCTGCTAATGAGCAGCCAGGGTTGAGAATTGGTGGGCTTGATTGACCCTCTGGGGGTATCTTCATCATTTCAAGAAAGAGAAATAACATGTCGTTCTTTTTTTTTAATGGAAATATGGTTTGTATAATAGTACAATATACTTGATAATAGCATCATTCCTGAATTTTTTGATGGTGAATTATGTTCAAATACTGATGTGGAGACAGAAGGAATGTACTTATTGTATAAATTTCATTAGATAGAAAGTTCAGGTTTTGGTTTTTAATCAACATTGACAGTTTCCTAACTTGGTTCCTAATGCCTTGTTTTTTCTACATTAATTTCAGTATGGTTTCAACATGGTAATGTCTCATCCACATGCTGTCAATGAGATTGCACTAAGCTTAAACAATAAGAATCCCAGGTAAGCTTTTGCTTTGTAATGTGAAAGTCTTAATCATACTAGGAAAAACAGGAAGTTAGGTAACACCAGCCACTCCTTGGGTCGCTATGAGTCATAACTGGCTCGATGCCACTTAACAGGGAACCCTTAACAAGTCCAAATGGCACAGTGGGTAAAGACTTCACTGCTACCTGAAAGGCGATTGGTTCTAACCCACTACCTCCTCCAAAGCCATCTCCTGTTACATGGAAAGATGATGTGATAACCTTAGAAACCCTATGGGGCAGTTCTACTCAGAACTGATTAGTTGGCAATTGGTTTTAGTTAATACTTAATCAAGTTAGAGTTTAAAAACATTCAAGTGTGATTCTCTAAAATAAGATTGACTGTAGACTCTTTTGCTGTATAGGATTTTCCTTTCAGCCAAATGACATTCTCCTATGTGGCAGAGTTGAGCAACTTGTGGCAGCTTTGGCCCTTCACTGCTCTCCTCAAGTTCTCATCCCTTTCAAGGTCATGTTCCTAAGGTGATGGGGAGGATTAAATGCCAGGGTGCAAGAAGGCCAAGAAAGTCAACTGACTGAACGGCACTTAACAACAACAACAACAACATACCAGTTATTGCTGAATGCTACTGGAACCACCATCTTACAACCACTTCATTTACTTACCTTTGGTAGCTTTCAGTCCCAGACAAAAATCAACAATAACAAAAAAGAAGTGTACAGGCAGATTATCTTATATTTACTTTGCTACATAGGCCAGCACAATGTATTATTTGTATCACAGATTGTTTCCAGAAGCTTGTCTTCCTCAATTATTTTAGTTGTTCTAATGTGTTTTCCGTTCTGGTGAGGCATGTTTAATTCACTTTCATCAGATCACTCTGTATAGATGGAATATATGAAAACTTACTTCAGCTAACAAAAGTCTAATGGTTAATTTGGTCCTTTCTTATTCTAAATACATTGCAAAATCATAACATTTTGCAAAATGATGACTATTATGCCTAGTTTTACCTTATTAAAATTTTGAAACTTTGTGATTGCCTTCTTAATTTATGAGATACTTGTATTTTCCTGCTTTCCAGTATTCATTTTGTTTTAAATAAAACAGTCAGCATGTGGACTATTCTGAAAGTCTTTGTTTAGAGGTTGGCAATACCCTTTCTTACAGAAGAAAGAACGACTGAATGGTTTTATGATGGAGAAACAATGCTGTAATTGACATTATATATATTTGACAACAGAATCTGTCTCTGAGTTCTTCTTTCAAAAATACTGCAGATGGAGTTTTGTTTTCCGAGTCAGAGACAAAATTCTTAGAGTAGTGCAGTTGTAATCCTCCTGCTCCTTCCAGATCTCATGCATAGAAAGTCTAAGATGGACACTTGCATTGTCATGGAGATTTTTATGGTGCATCTGTAAATACACAGATTTGAAATGTGGGACATTCATTTTAGTCAGTTTTTAAGTTTTCAGGCTAATGTTATGCCTCTGGCTCTACAATTTTCAGAAAGTATCTATTTAAATGATTTGTTTTCTTGCATATTCCCAAGTTTTCTATTGTCTTTAGCTCATCAATAACTTTTTTTCCAACCATATTGTACTGAGTCATCTGACAGGAAAAATCTTTCCAGAATCTGTTTTCACTAGTGACTAATTTGTTATTTTGTGAGTGAAAAGCATTCCTTTCAAATTTGCTCTTACATCACATATTTAGAAATTAATAAAGGTTTGAAATGTGCTTTAATGTAACTATACCTTGTTGCTAGGTGCCATCGAGTATTCCAATTAGTAAAGGTTTTAAAAAATACTTGGCAAAGTATTATCATCTTATCCATCATGGAAGGAAGGGACAGCTGATTCATCCCAATATCATTTGCATTGATTTGTGTTTTTCTTTCTTTCTTGTTTTGACAGAACAAAGGCCCTTGTCTTAGAACTGTTGGCAGCTGTTTGTCTTGTCAGAGGCGGGCATGAAATAATTTTATCAGCATTTGATAACTTTAAGGAGGTAGGATACTTTATAGTTTTTAAAAAAATGCTCATCTTTGGAATCTTTGTACAGAATGATTCACCTTTTCATTTATTCTAGCTCCTGAAGGGCTATAATAATAAATTTTCTGAGACATGTTGAGAGAAAAAGAATGAATTGGTCTAAATATCTTAAATGCGTAGATTAAGCATTCTTTGGTATCTCGTTCCATTTTCTTTTGGAGAATTGGAAAAGCTGGTTTGAAAACAGATTTTGTTAAATATATGTGGTTTTCATAATACTAGATACTTGCTAGTCTACTGTGTAAATTTTTATGAATGCTTTTATCATTTGTTGATTTTCCCAGCTCATACTCATTATCACTGTTTTGCTGGATGCTATGAAAAGCCTATCAAGTAGAAATGCTGATAACTGATTTAGATTGTATAATCTTAATCAAGTGATTTTGTCACAGGTAAACAGTAAACCAGTGGAGACTAAATAACTGCAAAGTAATCAGTTATATGTATATTTCCCATGTATTCCTCCCTAAAGTATCATGGTATCATGACTGAAATACTAATTTTCCCTAATGATAATCTGCAATATTACATGACCATGAAAAATACCAGTTAACACCTCTAGTATGGACATAATGTCTTTTAGGTGGGCAGTTACAAAACTAGGCTTTGGAGAACTTTGAAGGTACTTAAAGTCCCAGGTTACAGAAGAACCACCCTCCACCAAGTTGTATTGTATCCTGGTAATTCTTCTGGTTTGTCCCAGATTCGATGAAACTTCAGCTCTTGAACTTCCAAACATAATCATCTTTTCTAAGATCCACTGGGGTAGAATCAACATTATACTTGTTGGGAACACTGGAGCTGAGCCAGGTCCATCTAGAAAATTATTTGGCTCTGTGAGAACATCTATGAGACAAGCATTCATCTCTCCATTTTATAGAAGAAACTGAAATTCAAATGCATTGTTTGCCTGTGGTCACATAGCTAAGTTGGTGGTAAAACCAGAGTCTGTGATTTGTTGTTTCCATCTCTGAAATCCCCCTGTCATGGATCCGTGGTAACATTTAGACTCAGTTGAGTGTGAATCTCCTGAAGAAAATACTGAATTAGAAAAGGCTCTCTGCACATTTAATTGGACTGCATTAATTGGACGCACTACCTCAGCTTCCATGTATACTAGAGAGTCCCCAAGAATTGTGTGCATGGACTCAGAAGCTTCCCAGATGTGAGCAGGGAAGTCAGCCCTCCTGACCCTTTATTTGCACTGCCTCCCATATTTGATAACTGCTTCAAGATCTTGCTGCTTGCCATTTTGTCAACCATGTTGTTGTTGTTGTTAAGTACCGTGGAGTCGGTTCCGACTCATAGTGACCCTGCACAAGGTTTCCAAGGTTGTAAATCATAATGGGAGCAGAACGCCTCGTCTTTCTTCCGAGGAACCGCTGGTAGTTTTGAACTGCCAACCTTCAGGTTAGCAGCCCAATCTTAACCACTACACTAACCAGAGCTCCTTATGTCAACCCTAGACAGAGCCAAATTTTGGCTTTCTATCTATGCAGGCCCAGTGATAGTGAAAAATACCCAGGTTCCAATAAAATGATGAAGAATAATAGTGCATCTTTAAATTCACATTGTGGTTTTCAAAACAGATATTTTACAGACAAGAACCTAAGAATGCATGTCTGGATGTTTTTATGTAACAGAAAAAAACTTACACACAAACCCATGCCATCGAGTCCATTTCCACTCATAGAGACCCTAAATAGGACAGGTAGAACTCCTCCTTAGGATTTCCGAGAGTAAATCTTTGCCGGAGCAGAAAGCTTCACCTGTTTCCCAAGTAGTAGCTGGTGGTTTGAACCACAGACCTTGCAGTTAGCAGCTCAGTGCTTAGCCCACAGTGCCACCAGGGCTCCCTACATGTAGCATATGCATATAGCATATACATTTTACATTTATAAATAAGGAGAACTATATTTGGGTGGATGGGTAGAATAGGAGAGAGAAACGTGTACAGATGATAGAACTCCCAAATCTTTGCAAAGGTAAGTCATGTTTGAAAATAATCACATGCCAAATTCTTTCTATACTAGAAGCACTTACTGTACAATTATCAAGGACCCTTGTTATAATATGAGGCTTTATCTGATTATATTAGGTCAAATTATGTCCTGGAAATATAATTGTATTGTTGTTGTTAAGTGCCATCGAGTCAGTTCTAACTCATAGCCACCCTGTGTAGGGTTTCCGAGGAGCAGCTGGTGGTTTGAACTGTTGACCTGTGGTTTATAGTCCAGTACTTACCATACAGCACCACACCAGGAGTCCATAATTGTATAGCATGTTGATTAAGTGCATTGTTCATGAGAGGAGTGTTAACTTTGTATTCTCTTAGAAATGTAGAGTGCCTTTGTCACCATTCTAGACACACAAGTATGAGCAGAATTGAGTTTTAACTATATGGTGGCTTAGCCATTTTTAGGGCCTAGTGTATGGTTAGCTGGGAAAAAAAAAAACTAATAATAAATCCAATGACTGTCTAATAGTAATGGGAACTGATTTGATTTTGAGACTGAATTTTGGAGCTTTAACTAAACCTTGCCTTATTTTGAGTGACAGTGGATGTTGTCTAGGTTCTGATTGTCCTTGGCACCTGTACTTGCATCTAAGAGAAATGATACCATGTAAGAGAAGGGCCACAGAGCTGGGTCTGTAAGTGCTCTCTGTTTGCATTGTGGTGTCCATGTAGAACAAGTAAAGAGATTATTTCTCCAAATAGCCATGTGAATAGGGACAAGGCAGGAGCACATCACCACAAAAAAACAAAACTTTGCTTGAGTTGATTTCAAGTCATGGGCACTCTATAGGATAGAGTAGAACTAGTCACTGAAATTTCCAAGACTATTCATATGTGTGGGAGCAGACTACATTATCTTTCTCCTTCAGAGCAGCTGGTGGCTTTGAACCACTGACCTTCCAGTTAGAAGCCCAAGATTTAACCCGTTGTACCACCAGGACTTCTTTCATTCCAATGGATCAAAAGAGCTCTAACCTGTTTATCATTCCAATCTTAGTGTGGGAAAGGATTATGTTTTAATTACTTTTGTTTAGAAAAATGTAATGCCATTCATAGCACAAAGTCTTTTTAAATTCCTCCCTCTTCTGTTTTTCCTACCGTCTTTACATGAATGGGTTTTTTCTTACACATCATAGTGACAGATGGACTCTTTAATCTCTTAAGCCAAAATGCCATTGGAATCTTCTGTCTTTAGGGAAGTTTGGGAGTTAACTATTCCTGATTAGGAAAAATTGTTAAGATTTGTGATGCTTGTGCAGATAGGGTTATAGTCAGTGAATATTACCTTTTGAGCCACCAGTGGTAGAGAGAGTACCAGATGAGATATGGAGATAACCAGAGAGTAAGACCAAAGAAATGTCTTTTCCCTCAAATACACTCTTATTAAAGAATTTTATCCCTTTTAGTAAATTGGGATTCTATCTATCTCCTTAAGAATGATGAAGGAATTATCCCTGTTTGTACTGGGGTGGGAAAAAAGAGAAGGCATTCAATATTAGACATCACTATCCAGTTTGACAAATATAGTAATAGGCTTTGATCATTGTCAGAGAACAGCTTTGAAACACTGCTGCAAAGCGGCACCAGAATGCTAAAAGGTAATTTAAAGACCATACATCTTAAGTGTATGAAACAAATTACAATTCTGTGTAATTTGACTACCACCAATTATGCTGTCCTGGGGGCTCTGTAGGATAAGCACTGAACTGCCAACCACAAGGTTGGCAGTTCAAACCCACCAGGCACTCCTTGAAAACCCTATACAGGATTGCTAGGAGTCAGAACTGATTCGATGGCACTTAAGAACAGCAATCAATTACACTGTAGGAAAAGCACTGAACTACTAATGGCAAAGTCGGCAGTTCAGGCCCACCAGCCACTCCTTGCAAGCGCTATACAGGGTCGATATGAGTTGGAAACCACTGGACGACACTTAACAAGAGCAACAATTGATTCAGTAGGAGCTGTGGTGGTGCAGTGGCTAAGCACTCAGCTTATGTTAGAACCTGTAATCTTCTTGGGAGAAAGATGACAGTCAGGAAACAGGGAATGATTCCAATTTAATAGTAGCTGATGGTGGAAAGAATACTAATTCAAGGCCTTGCTTGAGGCAGAGATGGGTGGTGCCTCAGCCTGATATTCCTGTTCTCAGTAAATACAATGGTGAATGAATATTAACTAAATAAATTCAGATGGTAAACTTTTACCAAGCATAGACTGTGACTTGTCTGAAAACGGGAATGTATTAAGGTGGATGAAGACAAAACATAGTTAACAAACACTGTGCTCCTTGAATTCTTTTGTCTTAAACAAATTTTCTTTTTTTAAGTTTTAAAATAAAGGATAACACATCTGGTTTTGGTGTTAAACTGTCTCTTCATGAAAATTTATGATCTTGAAATGAGGACCAGGGTGAGAACAAGTCATCTGTTTTTCCCTCTTAGCTAATTTAGCCATGTGGAAAGATGTACAACTATCTACCCAAAATTGATTTTTTTGTTTGTTATATGGCAATATGTATTTTTGAACATTAGGGGAAAAAATTGTTTGCAAGTAAAGGCCACTCTTTTTGTATTTATAGTCATTCTCAGACTTTTTGGCAAGAATCAGAAACTGACTCTGCCTTACAGAGGGAAGGGTTGATTGGAAGAGTGTTGAGCAGTGCACAGACTGGGCAGAGTGGCTGGGGAAGCAGTAGGGCATTTCTAAAGGTCCTGGCTGTGCTCTTGACACACAGCCACCCTGAACACTATTTGGGATCTGGTCATACTTTTTCTTCTTAAACAACCTGGTCCATAGCAAATCCTCTGGGTCATAAAAACATTCTCACTGGTGTTTAAGGACATCTGTAGTCTACAAGCCCCACTTTAAATTTGTAAGTAAAATATTTAATCCTTCTTTAAAATAACCTTGTAATCTTCAAGTAGACCTTACTATCC